TAGTAAAGTTGAGCTGATCAAATTAAGACAAAAATCTAATGAATTCAATATCATTTGATTTCAAATATGTTTTATAAATGATTATGGATTATGAGCACCTTCTTTGAAGAAATAAGAGTTCAGGATCACAGGAAGTAATAAGCTATCTTAGTATTTTCAGACTATTATGATCGACAACCACCGCCTCTAGCAGTTGTCGCCATCGTCTCCCAAACTTTTGTCAAAACATCTAACTCCATTGATGAGAGTTATAGTCATCCACATGTAAACATCTATAATCCCTATAATGGTGTGAAATTGAAGTGTAGTTCTTGTATCTCCAATTCTATAGTGGATTATACAAATTCGGCTGACCCTTGAATTTTTTCTCCTTCTTCGAACTTTCAATAAAAGCTTAATAGTCTCCTTAATACAGTTACTTTCGTTCATGCTTGATTTTTATTACATCGTAAGACCACTTATACCTCTCTAAGCATCTACCTTTGCAAATTTTCTAGCACGAACAAATTTATAGAATTGTAATATAATATTCCTATATATTATGATTTATTTGGAAAAAACGACTTATTATATTTTATTTCTACAATTAAATTTTTGCCCCGCTATAATTTAATTAGTCTATTTTACATAAAAATTTGTGGATTTTACAAAACTGAAATGTCAAATTAGGGACTTGAAGATTCTTCAGATTACTTATTCTGCAAGTCAAATTAGGTAGGCCGTTTAATAATCTTCATAAGATAAGCATAACCATTGATTGAAATTCAGATGCAACTTGCATTATCTGCATTTTTTTTTTTCATTTATTTCCAGCTGAAAAAAGAACATATGTCATATTTAAAAAAAATCATTACCGAACCTCAAATGAAAGTTATCTAATAATAATAATAATAATTAGTGATTAAAAAATAAATTAAATTCACGAGATAACTGCGCCATTCACATCCTGTATATCCTGTATATCTGATGTGGCTTTAGTTGTATCTGGTTAACTACTAATGGGCAGGGGGGAGTCTCGCAAGGCTAGTGCTCTTGGTGTATTCCCAAATGGGAATGTCTTACGATGAATCTGCAAGAATGAGTATCGTGGTGAGAAGAATGGCGCAAATGTTTTAGGGTGAGTGATGGAGTTTGCCAGGCAAGTATTCCGTACTAGTGGTTGTGACGTTGATGATCAAAGTAACTTGATTAAATCGTGATTATGAGCTCTATAAGTGTGGGTTCCTTCTGTAGCTTTAACAGGATATTCGTGGAAGAGAGTCACGTCATGTCCTACTGGGGGGTAACCGTTGAAAGAGGCAGAGTCATCATAAAGTAAGGCTTTCTTGAGTCGAAGACTTGCTTAGGCAAGTCCGTTTGATCAAACTTTGCTTTAAAATATGTTGCATTGTCGAGCTCCCACAGTAAGCTTAATGTGAGCTTCATTTAGGTCAATAATACCTGCCTATATACTTACGCTTGTTCCAACAACTGCTCCCAATGCGATCTGGTTTTTAGATTAGTGCATTCTCGACCAAAGCCAATCAACAACAAATCTACTTTCGTCGATAGTTACACTATTATGACGGTCATTAAGGCTGAAACAACTAAGTCATATATTTATGACTAACTTCACTATCTACAACTAACATATAAAACAATCATAATACTGCTTGTCTGCGGGACGCCTTGGATTCTTGATAAGGTTTCCAGAAGAGCTTTGACGGACAAAGGAGGAAAGCAACGCTCGAGCGAGTGTAGACGCCGAAAAGAAGTGAGACATGTTCATATTGTCATATTGTGTGTATAAATGAGGTACAGTATCAGACCTAATATTATAGAGCTGAATAGGCTGTCCGCCTATAAGCAATTACAATTCCAGCCATTATGAAAAGATACAATATTATTTGTATTATATACCCTAACATTCCCCCTTCAAACTAATGGGTCTGTGTGACACTTTAGTTGTCTCTAAGAGTATGAACAGGGTGTTGAAAGCGGTTAGTTTAGGATATCTGCAAACTTTGACGATCCTTACCGCTTGCTGATCGGAACAAACGAATGTTGTTTGCTTGTTGATTTGTTCCACTAGAAATCTTTGATCAATCTCGAGTGTTTAGTACGTGCGTTGGAAACACCGGGTTGTTGCGCATGAGGAGCCACATGTTGCAGAAGTGTGTGTTCACAGTAACGATAGATCTCGGGGCATACGCCTTCTCCGGATATGCCTTCTCGGGCGGAATTACTCAATAATGTCAAGCGCGAAGTAACTCCTTTTAAAGTAGTCGAAGAACCATGTCTGCGCTTCTTTAAGGCAGCGCATGTGAGCTCGATATTCAGATTCCACGGATCGAAGATCGTGAGCGTGTTACCCTGCGCTGCCTTTTTACTGCCCAAGATAATTAACAGGTTGTTGCCTCAAGAACGAACAGTAGCCAGCATGTAGATTTTCTTGGAGATAAGGATCGCCCGCCCAGTCCGCGGTCGCAAAAAGGAATGATAGAACGAGATTAGTCTGGTAATAGGTAAACCCATCAGTAACCGCTACCTTTGAGATATCGTAGAAGTCGCTTTAGGAGGTAGGCGTGGTTGCGGAAGCGGATCATGCATGTGTTTGGGAGAGCAGCGTTTAACGCTGAATGCAATGCTGGACGAGTGACGTTAAGTATTGTAAGCTCCAGTGAGTCTTCTGTAAGGTTTGCCGGATCGTTGAAGCTCATTGCTTATCGGAGTGACTCAGCGGTAATTTGGTAGCCGTGGGATTTTGATAAAGGATTGCAAAGCAGCATATTGGCTTGTTTTAAGAATAGATACAGTATATGGGGCTTGAGATAGAAAATACCGTGATGGGTTCCTTTTTAATTTTGAATACCGAGAAAACGCATGCTGCTCGCCCAAGTGTTCATCATTTGAATTTATGCTACTTTGCCAGAAGCTGGTGTTTGATTGGCGTTCTTGATTGTTACCTGGATTTAGGTTGTCGTCTACGTTAGACAAGAAGGAATATGTCTGAAGCTATCTTGTCTAAATAGAAGGAGCGATTATCATGATTTACTGTGTTCAAAACCCGATGGACAGACGGTACTTTGGTTCTGAAAGTGGTATACCACTGTCTTGGGTGGCCTTGACGAAGACCATAAAAGGCTTTGTGTAACCGACAAAACGTGGGTTTGGGCGTGAGTGGAGTCCTCGAATCCCTTCGGCTGAGTCATAAAGATTGTTTCTTGGAGGTCGCCATGCAAAAAGCGTTCGCCACGTCGAGTTGTGTTGGACTGACCACAAATGATACAAAGCTACGCTCAGGAGAAATTCGAATGGTGGGCAATTTGGCTACTGGACTGAAATGTCTCGTTATAGTCAATGCCTTTTCCTGATGATTTTCCAAGAGCCACGAGTCTGTGCTTTGTGTTCTCGCAATAGATCCGGTCCGAGTTGATACTTTGTACGAAAATGTTCCATTTGCACCCAATTGTAGGTGCGTTTGATTTGCGTGGTTCAACCAACGTCCAGCGTGCCTTGTTTCTGCCAGGGCTAGGAACTCAGATGCCATAGCTTGGTGCCAATTGTGGATGCTTAACTTGCAGCTGTGGAGGAAGTACGGGTCCTGTTCCTGCCCTGTGACAGTGTTTAGATGAAGAAGTTAGGGCGTACCCGTGGTTTAAGGGATCCAGGTCTTCTGCCTCGTGATCATGGATGCTTTGATAATTGAAGGTGAGCATGGAAGGTACACTGTTTTTAGCTGGAAACCGTGGGTACATTCCTCAGGTGAGACGGATTAGAGAGTCGGTGTGGCTCTGTTCGGACCAAATTCCTGGTATCAGTGTTAGTTGTCGTGTTCTCGAAAGTTGGTATGGAAGTGGAGCCAATAGTTGAGGTTGGTATGGAGTAACGAGGGTTGGATTGAAATCATTAATCGGAGCCTTTACTAGACGATGTGTTTCCTGCAGAAAATTGGAAAATTGTTCATCGAACGTAATTCTCGTGTCGCGACATGAAAAGTTTGTGGGAGGAACTGTCCAAACACTTATAGCCTTTATAGGTTCGGAGTAGCGAGAAACACGCTAATGAACGAGCGCAGAGGTTGAAGTTTAGCCGGAGGAAGGGTTGAATAATATAAATTTTATTGTTTAAAGATATTACTTTAATATAATATAAAAAATTACACTTTTTACATTTAAAATATTGTTAAAATAATATTTAAATTTAATTTTTTTAAAAATTTATATGTTTAATATTTTCTTGAAAATTTTAAACCAAAAAATATTAAACAAATAAATCATTATTTAATTATTAAAAATAATATATATAATTTATACAGGAGAGAGAGGGGGTAATTTTTAGGAACGAGCGTATTTTTTGTCCAATTTAGCAAAAGCAGCGTGGTTGCGATAAAATTTAAAAAGGAGCGAATATGCCTAACGAATTGGTGCATTCACTGAATGCGCCGAACATAATAGTGCCTTCACTGAATTCGTTGAACGTTTAGGCGCATTGTACAGAATGCGCTGAATGTTTAAGCAAATTATATAGAATGCGCTGAATGTTTAGGCGCATTCTATAGAAAACGCTTTTTAATTTGGCGCATTATACGGTATCCAATGCTGCCAGCTCACGAGATTGCAGAAATTCCGAAAAAGTTTGTCGTTACGCTCGACCAGATCCGTTATATGCGCGTCTTGGTGTGGAATTAATTGAGCGAATTGAATTTGGGTGGTTGGGGAGAAGAGCGGCTATAAATAACACATGAAGGCTAGGAGGAAACGCACATCTCAGTTCATTCAGCTGAAAGATTTCGATATTTAGAAGAAGAGCAGGTATGTTAATTTTTTTTTAGTTTGATTATTTTATTTGATGTAATATATTTAGTTGTAATAATGTTTGTAGAAATTATAATATGCAGGTGTTGGTGAATTTTTTTTTTTAAAGCTGATGTTCTAATTAGGTTGGATCATAACCTGATCACGACATTGGTGGAGAGATGGTGTCCCTTAACGAACTCCTTTCATTTGACCATCGGTGAGATGACGATCACCTTACAGGATGTCCAAATTTTACTCGGGCTCAGAGTTGATGGACCTGCAGTGGTGGGCCCAAATGTTGTTGGGCAAGGACGTATTTGGGCAACATGGCCGATTTGCTGTGACGAGTTACTTGGGACGCATCCTGACAGGGATACAGTATACCACGCCCCAGATGAGGAGGAAGATGTTGCGACCTTTAGGATGGGTTCATCACAAGTTGATTATATGCTCTCACTACGTTGGCTCCGCTATACATTTTACAGATAGTCATATGATGATTTAGCACCAAAGATTTTTCTTCGACATGTCAGCGCATACATCCTATTCATGATAGGTGTTTTTTTGATACCTGATACATCATGGAGTCATGTTTCTCTACAGTGGTTACCTTTACTTACGGATGTTGACAGCTTTAATAGGATGTCAATGTGAGGTGCCGTTCTTGCACATCTTTATAGGGAGCTGTGCTATGCGACAAGGCCGACAAGGACATATATTGCGGGATGTGTTTCACTCCTGAAAGTTTGGTCATGGGAACGATTGTACATAGGTCGACCAACACTGCGAGTCCCTCATATTTTTGACTTGGCCGGACGACCCTTGTGTGAAACCCTTGAAAAAAAATTGTGCTATTTTTCGTCTGTACGAACCTGGTTAGTACGGGACGAACCGTCAGTACGAACTGAAGAAATTGTGAAGAAATCTGTATGGTTCGTCTGTACGAACCTAGATGGGTTGGTACGAACCGAGATAAAGAGTTTAATTTAATTTTCGTCTGGATGATTTGATTAAGAGAAGATCGTCCCGGGATGATCGGGACATCGTCCGGGATGAACCTGCTTGATAAATATTTGAATAATGTCATTTTTGAAGAGAGAGAAAACCAAAGGAAAAGAGTAAAAAGTAGATTTTTGAGCTACTCCGGTCCGTTTTCGTCCGTCGCCGTAGTTAAAGAAGTTGACCGACTCGAGGTAAGGCACATTCCGGCTTTCTCAATTTTCAGAAATGAGATTTTTGACGCGTTTTATGTTCCGAATTTTGTTTCCGTTAGCGAATTTCTGGTATTATTTTCTTTTGACAAAGGTTTTACCGTGTAACTTTTAGTATGTTTCTGAGCTGATAATCGTGCACGTTTTGAGTATTTTCTGGAAGATTTTTACCGGATATTTTAGATTCTGCGGCGTTTTAATTGAACTGCAAATTATCGGGATGTTGAAATATGTTACTTCAGTACAATGAAAGTCTTATAATATTATTGTGGATATTCTGTGATAATTTGGTAAATTTCTGAATCTGTGTATTTTGTGTAAATTCCGTATACTGTCGTTATGCCGCTGGTTTTTCGTACGAATTCTGCTTTTGTCCTGAATTGTACATTGAATGAATTGATTAATTGTATGCTATCATAAGGGAGTTATAAGGGGCTGGAATCCTATGTGATTCCGTTGTCTGGGTCCGGGAAGGGATACATAAGGGGAAGTTCTTAAATCTGAAATTCTGTATATCTGTTCTGGTGCTATATGCACAAAAGTGAGCTATAAGGGGAAGTTCTGGTGCTATAAGCACAAAAGGGAGTCATAAGGGGAAGAGGGAAAGTTCTGACATATGGAAGGAAGTTCTGTATGAAATTATCTGTTCTGTAAAGCTGTAATGTGATTATTTCTGATTTATTTCTGTACGATTGTTCGAATTCTGTACGGAGACTTTTCTGATATATTTTCTGATATGAGTTTCTGATTATTTTGATTGGTGAGTGATGTCTTGCTGAGTTGTTAGCTCATTCTTATTTTCTGCGTGTTTTTTAGGTTCTGGGAAATGGAAGGAAGTCTTGGATTAGCAGTTCAGAGTCTGATCTGAGATTAGGTACTTGATACTTTTGATTTTTGTGTAGTCATGACTTTTCTGTTCTATTATTTCTTTCTGAAGCCATGGATTGTATTGTATATGATTGTTTTGACGAAAGAAAAGATAGATGAATCATTCTGCATTTAGATGTTTATAGTAGCTCTGTGTTTTTCTATCTGTTTAATACTTGGAAGAAAGTCTGAAGCAAATTCCAAAGCTAGATCCTGAATTTTCAAAAGTTCCGTCACGACCCGTTGCGAGCGGGATCCGTCCCGGTCGGGTTGGGTCGTGACACCTTGGGTTGTAGGTTAGTAAACTTTAGTCAATAAAATTATAATTGTATTTTAAATAACAATGTTTTATACAAATTTATAGGTGGGCTGAAGATAAGATACGTGAACTTCCTGCAGGCAATACAATGACGTATAAAGACGAATTTGATGGTTTGCGTATGAGTCAGGTATAATTAAAAATAAATATTTTAAATAATATATTTTTTGTTCATAAATAATTAACATATTATTTATCATAATTTCCTAGATTATCATAACTCCATATACCCAAGAAGTTTTAGATACTCTTTCAGTACAGTATCAGGAAGGACAGGAGATATGGAGGGCACGAGTACCGCTTATTAGTTGGAAACGAGCAGAGTGGCACCTCCCAAACCGGGTTGTAAGACAATTTTCAGGTGTGCCATCTACTGATATTGAACTCATGGATCAATCATTTAGGCGCATTGATGGCCGTGATAGAGCAGATCAAGATTGGACTGTACAATACCGTGACTACCTCCAGATCTGGGAGGAGAGGAGGGCTTACATGGTTCCCATCACTCCACTATTAGGGAACAGGCAATCGAGAACTAGGAGCTTATCTATGGTGGTATAGATCTTGGGCATCCATCTACCTTTTACAACCTCAAACAGAGCCTTCAGAGACCTTCTTTCCTAGATCACCTAACGAGAGATTAGTGGTACATATTGTATTGTAATGTACATTATATAATTTTTTTAGCATAAATTTTAACTTTAGTACAAATTAATATATAATTACTCTTTAGACGGATTACTATATACGATTATCTGCGATACTTGAGTCACTCGCCGGGGGAGGGGGACATAATATAAGTTCCTTGCAGATGGTTGTAGATCAAGTTGTTGAATTGTCTGCCCGAGTACAACAATAAGTTTATATCGACTACACAACATTTGATTCGACCATAGAGGTAGATCAGCAAAGTAGAGAACGTGTAGGGAGTTCTCATAGGCAGCAGCATAGTAGACGATCTTTTTCAGATGCTCCGTCCCGGTTGATGGGGAGCAGACACCGACGGACAGTTGATCCTGACCCGCATCGACATTCCATTCATACGCCATCTATGGGATATGATTTCACGGGAGCAGGTCCCTCAGCCCCACATTGGAGCCCGCACGTTGGACAAGCTAGTCAATCAGGACATATCTATCATGGCACACAATACGAACAACCCAGCACACAATCATTATTTATAATGACCATTCCAGAGTGGATGTCATCAGTAGGATTACCTTCATCCCCCACGCAGCAGGACATTATGTTAACGGCATGTTATCCTATAAAACAAGATACAGAACATTCACACCAATGTGCCGAGGTTGATCAAGAGGAGGCTGAGGTCTCAGAGGTGCCACAATTACAGAGGAGAAGAAGAAGGGAACCAAATAGATTTACTCCAAGGAGTGGGGCTTTACCCAGACATCGTTAGTATGAGATTTGAGTTGTATTGTTATGTTGATCTTTGGGTTTTTACTTTCAGTTGTAAACATTTATCATATTATGAACTTTGCTTATTAAAAATGCTTGACTTTTCATTTTTTTTCCTTCATTACTTAGTGTTAAATAATAAATATATATTCTCAACTACTCCACTGTGTTTGCAAATATGTCATTTCAGCTACATTAATCAAGAATGTACTCCCACAATTTTGATGCTAGCAGCAGTGCCGAAACCAAACAATGGATTACAGAGGGTACCATCCGGGTGCGTAAAAGCTTATCTTATCCTATCGATGAGGACCTTGAAGCCAGGATATCATCAAATGAACTATTCAGGTGTGTTATACATACTTGTGATGAAGATGAAGATGACTTACTGTGGAACCTATACGATGATATGAAGAAAGCTAAGGAATATAGAGGTAACCCTGCACGTCGAGAGTTAGAATGGAAATATCTACAATAAGGCTTTGACGATTTTAAGCACCACCTTGTGGCAAAAGATTTCCTAAATGGTCGAATTCTAGAACTTAGTTGTAATAAAGACGGTACAGTTGAATCAGGTTTTGGAAGGTCTATGATGGATATAGATAATTGTATTTTATACTCTTATTGGAAGCCTAATCATGAAGCACATATTAGATTCTTATAAACAGTTGTTGCAAAGTTCTAAAGACCCTAAAGCAAAGGATTTTCTTAATGGAGAAGATTGGCAGCAATTACAACAACAATTTCAGATCGACTTCAAATGTTGTCCTACACAAACACAGCTCCAAACTCGTCTACGATTTCTACTTAATAATATGAAGTAGTAACTTCAGCATTATTCCTATCAACGTGCATAAAAAATGTCCTTTATGTTGTTATTTCTTTTCTCGTGCAAACATAAATTTAAAATGTACTTCGTGTTGTTATGTTGATGATTAATATTTATATTTGTAATTGTTACTCAACTTCTAATTTATTTTATTAATTTGACTCGTGTTCTTCAAATAATTTTTTTAATATTTTATTTAATATTATTTTCCTAATGACAAATAAAATTACATTTTCTAAATATTCAACAAAAAATGTCATCATCATCAAGGACCTATCCAATAAAGCACTCACCATCAAGGGATTTCCTTCATATTATTTCAAGGAAGAAGTTAATCTATGATGGTACTATTCGATTGACAGAATCTATGTCGTATCCCATTGATGAATTCTTGGAGGAGAAATCAATATCAAATGAAATTTTTTGATATTGTCTACATGAATGGTCTTGGTATGAAGACGATAGTTTATGGGATACATATCATGAAGTTATCAAATGTCGTCATCCCATGTATGTGGATGAAGGAACCATTACTGATTTGGGTTGGCAATTTGTACGACAAAGATTTAGGAATCATAATGGTCATTTTGCTCCTATAAGTATTCTTAAGACAAGAATTAGTGAAATCGTACAGGAAAAGGATGGTTCTGTTTTGGTCAATGTTGAGAATCCAATAACTAACGTGCAACATTGTATTCTTTATAAAAAGTTGCATACTTGTCAAGATGTTTTTCTATCAGAAAAATATCAAGAGCTGAATATTATAGATGGTAAAAAGAAGGAGTTCTTAAATATCAAAGATTGACATTACATCTAAAAGCAGTTCACAGAAAAATTCTTATGTTGTTCAACTTTAACCCAAATCCATGCGCGCATACGCATAGTACTAAGCCGCTTGTAATAATAATTTTTTTATCTTTCTTTTAATTCTTATCATATGTATTTCATTTTATTACTGAACTTATCATGTATTCTCATTAATTTGTGTTAATTACGTTTCGCACTTTTCCCATTCCAATCTTTCTATAAAGAAGAAGAAGATGAATAAATATTTATTTGTCCAAATATTTAATACTTTGTAATACATTCAAATATAATTATTTTAAATATTGCTTTTAAAAAAATTTGGTGTTTATAGTATGTTAATAACAATTTATATAGAAATACAAATAATTTATAATTTAATCCTATTTTTAAAACTAAATTTTAAATTATATTCACCTTATTTTAAATTTAAATTAACTTCTTAAACTGATTTTAATAACTATTTCATCTACCTCTCTCAATTTTCATTAAATAAATCTCATAATTTACATAACTTCTAAATTTATTTTTAAATTTTTAAATAATTTTATTATTGCATTTGACTTCCTAGGACCCTATCTACAAAACATGTTTGCTCACAGAAGACTTGGTTTAATATTGCATATTATTAAAGTTTATTCACTCACAGAGGACTTGGTTTAATATTGCATATTATTAAAGTTTATTCAGACATTCATGACCTTATCATTCATGACCTTATCAACTTTGTTGATCTATTACATACTAAAATAATAATAATAATAATAATTTATGACATAAAAGATTTAAAAATATCCAATAATTTTTTTTTAAGAAAATATTAACCTTTGTTGTATCTTTACACACCAAATTTAATAAAAATATTCTGAATTCCTAAAATAACATTTTTCTCATTTCAAAAATTGATGCGGAGCAGGTTTACTCCTACAAACTGTCCCACCGGACAACTTATCCTTATAACCGTTTATGGCACATTTCCACTACCTAGTTTCCATTTTATTACAGCATAGTACTAATACCAACTTTTAGTTTGTTACACCTTTTTTTAGTACACCTGGAGGAGATACATAGGAGGAAAAAGCATTTTTGTAAGCAGACAATTTTACAAACAGAAAGCTACACACAGCCGTTCAGCTGTTCCTCCTCATCCCTCTTCTTCTATTCTTCTGTTTATCTCCTGTTTTCCCCCGCTAACATCTCTTGCAGGTTAATCGCCGCCGGCCTTCGTCACTTCCACTCCAGTCGACGATCTTCGCTGCATCAAAAATCAATTCATAATTGACATAAATGTCCTCATTAAGGAATTGGAAGCCCTCCACCGAGCTTGCAAGTTTTTTTTTTTTTCGGCATTAGGACTAAGGATTTCTTTCATTCTTTGTAACTACTACTTATCAACAATTTCTTGAGGTTCAAATTTTAACGCTAAGAAATTTTTATATACAGTAAATAAAAATTCGCCTCAAATAATGCCTAATCAACAAGTCGTCCCAAACGAAGCATATATGTCTTGCCTAATTATACTAAAATAATTAATAACAATGTATTCATAATAAAGTAGATTTTCTTGCTAATTATTAGCCATTACAACTATAATTAATTACTAAAAGTAAAAAAGAAAAAAAAAAGTAATGAACCATTTTAACTAATCCATTCCATATTTGTGCCATTTGGGAACAGAAAATAATTTAATCTATAATTTCTATTTTTTTTTGGCATAAATCAACCCAATACATTTATCCGGTCAAAATATTCAACCTTCAATTTATAAGACTACACAGCGTAACTATAAAATAACAAACAAAATACAATACAAAGCAAATATAACTTCATCATGACAAATACAAATGTGTAAATTAGTACATACATAAAACTATTGCCAAAACACATATAAAAACCTTAGGAGCTATAAACTCAACCAATATTGAAAAAAAAAAACTCAAAATAAAGTACATATCTTCCTGTTTTTCCTATGAGGAATTCTTAAGAGCTGATGCAAACCCCTCTTCACCTCATCCCTAACTTATACCGGCTCAAATTGAATGGCACGCATTGAATTCCACCCATGCATTGAATTCCACCCACTCAGCGTGATTTCGGGACCTGGTCTCCGGTAACGACAAAAGAAAATGGAAATGGGAAATTGGACGCCTGGAGTAGCTTGAATACGCTCATCATTTAAGCGCCTTCAATTCTTCTGAATACGCCTGACAGCTCAGTGCATTCAAAGAATGCGTCATTAAGATCGACGCATTCTTTGAATGCGCCATTCAAGACCGTGCATTCTACACTGCGCCAACCAGTTTCGCGAATTTGTTCGTTTTAAAATTTAGTTTTGCCCACGCTGCTTCCGCTAAATATGGCTACAACTACGCTCGTTCCGAAATTTACAGCATTGTTTAATACCACTCTCTCTCTCTTCTCTCATTCTCTTTCTACCTTTTTCCATATCTCTGTCTAAAACTTCTGCCAACTTTCTCTCACTCTTATATCTCTTCATCTTTTTTTCTATTGTTCTGAACACGGCAAAACAATTAGCACATTCATAATGCGCCTAAAAACTTAGCGTATTCTAAATGCGCTATTCAATTTAGCGAATTAGCTTTTTTTAAAATTTTAAAATAAATAAGATGCTTTTGTTAATTATGATAATTAACATGTTGCTTTTAAAAAATTGCCCTTTTTCATTCCTGTTATGCAGTAATTTCCTGCGATTTTTTTCAAGTCAGGGATTCAGCCGTGGACCATTAGGATAGGCGGGCAGCCAATCAGATGAGGTCTTCTGTAGACGTGTCGACTTTCTAATCAATCGGCGTCGAGAGAGAGCCGGTGGTGCAGAAGAGAGAAGAGAAGGATAGCTAAACCTTACCAGCTTCTTTGTTTAATCGCAAACGGGAGAGAGTGAGACCGCGCGCGCAGTTCAGTAAACATTGATCGAGTTCAATAGACTTCTAGTAATGGCAGCGGCGGCGACTTCTTCTACAGCGGCGGTGCTGGGCGGTGCTCGTTTCCCGGCTGTGGGCCCTTTGTCTCACCGGAGACCCTCTCTCCTCCTCTCACCGTCCCCTCACCGGTCGTTCTCCAGTGCATCCCTTAACCTCTCTGGTAAATTGCTTTCTTCTGTTTGAGCGTCAATGCTTGATTTGGACTTTCAGAACCTTTTTGAAAGATTTATGCATGGCGGATTGATTCCTGTCTAGCTGTTCGAAATAATTGTAGGGTTTTGGAGTTCGGCTGTACTATTCGTTTGTTAGTAGAATACCATATTTTATTAAGCTACCAGAGTCTTTTTCGTCAGAATGTAGTTGTTCTTGCTATTTTATGCATGGACGGTACTGTATGTCCTGAATTTCTTCAGAGTATTCCCAATTTTGAGAAAATATGGAATGGAGTGTATTGAAAGAATGTACGCCTTTCTTTTCTTTGGTCTAGAAACGTGAATTCAGATCATGGGACTTATAAATTCAAGCTGCTAACCTATAAATAAAAGTAATGCTTTTCAAGATTATGAGTAATGTAAATGTTGTCATTCCCTTAGTGGCTGTTTGCTGCAGCCTGCAAGATCTTATGAGTCTAGATTTAGTAAATCCTGCAAGTGTGAACTTCTGAGAAGTGAGAACTGTTTGGCATTCACAGATGTTAAATTTGGAAGAGATTTTTAAGATTTAGATTGAAATGAAAGAGAAAAAGAGACACACTGAGGAGAAGTGATATTACTGATTACTAATATGGGATTTTGCCTAAAAAGGGTGGAGAATGAGATTTAATAAGGCAATAAAATGTATGGGGCTAAAAATTATTTTTCAAGATTTAGCCTAAATCCCGGCTTAATCATGCAATTAAGCAGCCCCATCGCTTAGTTATGTTTGGTTGGGATCTATGTGAAGTTTATTATGATATTTCATTATAAAGCACCTTTAATCCTTGAATTGTAGTAAATTTAGCCAATTTTTATCTCATATTTTTAATAAAAAAACCTGAGTATCCTTTCATATATTTGATAATTTTAATTGATGCCCATTTTCCCTCCTATTAAGAAGCATAGGTTAAATTATTTTCACATTTGCAGATAAAACACCTTTCATCCTTAGGCTTTGTTTGGGATGGTTTTTTTACTATTTTTATGAAGCAACTTTTTAGTTCAAAATTTTTATGATTAAAAACTTCTTTAAAAAGCAGTAAGAAAAATGTCTCAAATAAAACTTTAATGTAGGTTTTGACTACATCTTTTTAAGGGAAATTCAGAGTTTTTCTTTGATTTGTACATTTTTAGTTTACACCTACTTTTTCTCCTACAGATATAGATCCTCTCCAGTTATCATGGTATTTGCACCGTGCAATTACTTATCATAGCCATTCATTCTACTTTAAATGATATCATCATATCCATTAATTCTAGTTTGAATGGTTTGAGTTCATCAATACAGAGTGGTTTTGAATAATTTTGGTGGATTCAATCCTAGCCATTTAGATGAATTTCATGATTAAGGTTGAGTTCATTTCACTAGTGCAATTTTCTTGGTAATTTGAGAGAATCCTTGTCCTTCTACATCTTATATGCAAATAGATTTTGACAACACCTGCATTTATATAGCTTTTATTTTCAATCAAACTTCCCTAATACAACTACAACTAATATTAATTTTACCAAATTTATTTTTCACACTATCATAAAATCTTAAACATTTATTTTTTAAATTTATCATTTTTATCCAACTAAAAACATATTTTTTCAATTATCTGCATTTATTCTGGTTTGCACTCTTACATCCTAACTTTCCTAATTATTGTTTGTTTGATCTGCTAATGTTAGTAATGGTAAATAAATAGTGAACTAGAGTATGCATTAGCTTGTTTTCATATGTGATCAAGTTTTTCAAGAAAATTTTGACCCAAAGGACAGGGAAAGGAACGCAGAAGTAAAGCTCCTTACCATGGATTGCTTCTTTTATATTCTGTGTAACTGAAGAGGCAGTGTTTGTAATTCTGACCCACTAACTTCATAAGCAGTTTTGAAGCCTTATACTAGTCATTTCCATGTTATTGTCTGATTTCCAAGTGAAAAGGAAGCTTGAAATTAATAAATCTTCGTCTACACAGACTTGCAGAAGTTTTCAGCAATCAAGACAAGAGCCACCTCCTCAGAAGAAACATCAAGTTCCATTGTAACTGAAGAACTACTTGCAGACCTGAAGCAGAAGGTAACATATTCCCTTACTTTGAAATAATTCATAAGTTTTTTTCCTACTGTATCTGTTGGAGACCTGTTAACAGACAGATTTGCCTTAGTGGGATGCAATTGAGAACAAACCCACAGTTTTTGTCTATGGTGGAGGCGCAATTGTTGCACTATGGCTATCTTCTACTTTGATTGGTGCCATCAACTCTGTTCCTCTGGTGTGTAATGGTTAAAATTTTCTAGTTCTATTATCTACTTAATGGTTTCTTTGTTGATACTGAGCAACTATGGATTTTAGTGAGCTTCATGCAAAGAAATAATTTATTGACTGGAACAAAATACTTTCTGTTTGCAGCTACCAAAGATTTTGGAGCTGGTTGGGCTTGGTTACACTGGATGGTTTGTTTACCGCTATCTTTTGTTTAAGGTAACTAACGATGTTCATGGTGGTTTTCTAGATACATGTAAACGTTACAGTAAAATGAATCACAAAGCATTTGTGTAATTCATCTTGGTATTTTCTTCTGGATCTAAGATCAGGCATTGTTCTTATGATTTTGATGCATTTGATTCTTGGTTTTGTTATAAGAAGATAGGAAATTGCTTCCTTTTACCAATATGCTAAAATCATGGCAGTTTTTCTGTTATCAAATTACATTTTATCTGTAACCAGATTGATAATATTTATATAGTTTTTCATCTCTCTCTCTCTCTGGATTAATTATTCTATGCAGACGTCAAAATGCCGTTCGGAGAGCAACCAGAATACGCCACGTCACCCCCTTGCTCGGTACCGCAGCTCGGTACTGCGGCTCGGTACCGCTGAAGTGGCGTATTCTAGTTGGTCTCTGGACGGCATTCTTCGTCCAGTCTCCGCACATAATAATTTCTCCTCTTTTTGTGTCTATGTGATGTGTGTGCTTGAGTTCTAATATAGCTAGTTTTTATTACAGTCCAACAGAAAAGAACTGGCAGAAGACATAGAATTTCTAAAGAAGAAGATTGCAGGGACAGAATAGATAGAAAAGCTTGGTAAGCTTCAGAAAGTTGTCACACTTCCCTGTGTAAATCATTCTAAGATTGGTAATCTTGCGGTTATTTATATTCTTCCCATGTAATGCCATTGAATACTTTATGTGTAATAATAACTTGGTGTCATTAATTAGAGCTATTAATTTTTTGCATTTTAGTCCAAGTACCTATAGTTTGATGGTATAGCATGGGAAAATACATAAATTTAATTGTTCAATTTTTTAACTTGATGTTAAATTTATAAATATTTATTATTTTGATGTCATCATATTGATGGTTTAGGTGGTGTTTCTTAGGATTTATTTGAGATGACTTAAATATTTTATAAAGTTGGATGTGAAATTGTTATTGAAAAAAAGGCTTATTTATTCTAGTTAAAAAATAGTTTTTTATCATAAAAATATCTTAAAGATTAATAAAATAATAAGAATGTTAAAAAAATAAAATTATGATTGATGTTTGAATAATAAAATAATAATAATAATAAAAAATTATGATTGATGTTTTTATTAATGGGCTTAGTTATTTTTGAAAAAATGGCTTAACTATTTTAGTTAAAAAAAATATTTTTTAGTCTAAAAATGTCTAAAAGATTAATAAAATAATAAGAATATTGTAAAAAATAAAGATATATAAAAATTTGGGCTGAGAGCTATTCTGATAAAATGAATATCTGCTTATAATTCATTTGGTTTCAGTTTCAACTTTTGCTTTAGTTTTAGTCTCAATTTTTTGTACCGTAATTCTATAGTACAACATTTTTAATTCTTTCACTTTTAGTTATTGATTTATATTTTAGTTTGTGATAGCCTATTGAGTCATGTAAGCTCATTCCTGCTTTAATTTATATTTCTAGCTAGGGGATGGGTAAAGAGTGAGCTGAATAAGTTTGGATAGCAAACTTTGATATGTATTTTAGGTATGTTTTTGTTAGTTTTGATATTTTATGCTTAACTTTATTTTTTATCTGTTGTAAAGTGTTATTGTATATTGATCTATGATTGTATATAAATTTTGGATGACATATATAGAATATCATATTTGAGATTCACCAGTCATCTGTTTTATGTATTTCTGGATGACATATATAGAATATAAATTAAAACTTTTTTTTTCAGGGTTTCTCCAACTAGATCATGTGGTTAGTCTTGTCAAAATCGGATATGGTATGTCATGTGTGTACTTTTGGGCTATATCGTGTCTGGTTCTGAGCAGTGCTATGAGGCACTGCGATACTGACCTTGGCTCTACCGGGGAACTGATTTTCCTTAAATTTCTGAGAGGCCGATGCTAGGGTGTTGTAGATGGCTAAGCTGCGACATTGAATCTGTGGGAGCTGCTGTGCTCTTTCAACACTTATAATTTTTTACATTCTCCTAAATATTTCATGCACAAACATAGTTAAAATAACATATTTTTAGATAAATTTTAATGCAATAAAAATACAAAAAATTATACTTAATAAATTTGCCCAGCTTAAACACTTACATATCTTCAAGCAATTTCAGCACTTGTTGAATAAATTAATAATCAAAATAAAATTTGATCATTTAAAATTACTAAAATATAAGATAATACATGACATTCTACAAGTAATTTGAATGATCAAAGTTATAATTATAATTTGAAAGGTCAATATAATTATGAAAAGTTACATACATAAAGTTTTATCAGTGTAAAGTTATCTATGTTTTTCGCTAAGAGAAATATAAATTTAATAAAAAAAACTAATAAAAATTATATATTTTTGAAAATTGAAATATGCGTAATGTGACCTATCTCGATCCGAGCAACTTTCTAAACTGGACCGACGGCTAAAAATGACCTGAAACAGCTCAAAAATCCCTTCTTCCCTCTCAAATCTTCTCCTTGCAGCTTTTTTCAATCAAGTCAAAACATAAACCTATAAGTGTCACAAATTATCCCAATCACCCTTACTATTATTTGTATTGAACCTATTCATTATAAGTGTATGTATAAGATCGACTTCTGATTTTAAAAATAAATAATATATTATTTAAAAATTAGTTGTGTTTGTAGTTAAATTGGTAGTTCATTAGTGCACAATCATATGCATTTGTTCACTTATCTTATTCTATTTGATTTAAATACTATGATGCTTTTTGATTTAAGCTTCAATAAATAACAATTTTTTAATACACTAATTTTTTTTTCTTTTTCATATTTTCTCTTATATTTTTTCATATTTTCCCCTTTTTTCATACTTATGGAGAATATATATTATTGATATTGAATATCAATTTTTCTTTCATCTTCCCGTAACCCTAATTGATTTAATGTAAGGATTTAATAAAGTCATTGATTCCATTATTAAGTTTATTATGATCTTCCTAGTTCAAGCTATCCATTTCTTTTTGCTAAACTGAATTATTTGTTTAATTTAGTAGTAAAAGTATTAGTGTATTGTTTCTAAGTTCAAAATAAGTCAATAGCTTAAGTGATATATATTAGAGAATTATTAAGCTTTTCAAATTATGAATTATTATGCATTATTCATTCAAACTATCATCTAGGATTTTATATAATTTATTATTATTTTTTTTATTTTGACTAATTAAACAATTAAAGTGTAAAAGTACTATGTAGAGAATAATACTCAACAATTAAGCATAAATGCATTTAAATTAAATGTAAATAATAAAAATAAAATAAGATAAACACAAATAAACAAAGAGTAAGACCAAATAAAAATAACATAACACACAATAAATTTAAAAACATTAAACACAATTGGGTTTCCTCGCATCCGCATTAAATTTATAATCTTCAACTAGACTTGCCTAGATATGGCATTTTGGCTATAATGAATCACCACCACTTCTTAAGTGATCTCCGCTATGCACTTTTCCTTTTTTCTTTAAATTAATTTTAATATTACTAGGTAAAGATCCAATAGGTCTACCATTAAAAAAATTAGAAGTTGTCCTAATTGATTTCCTAAATTTTTAATTGAAGCCATCTAACTTTACAACTGGGTTCCTAGTTGAATCACAACATCTTTTAGAGATAATTTTCACTCTTTGAATTAATTATTTTGGTTAAAATCTGAGGGATATGCAGGTCTTGAATTTACTACAGGTTATTGAGGATTATTTCAATTTCCACCTCAAATAGATTAACATATATTCTACTAATTGCTACCATTAATACTATTATTTAAACAATTAAGATTAGAGTGGTTCCTTCATCCTATATTATATGTATTAAAATAATTATTATTTTGTCTTTCAATCAAATTCACATTCTCAATCCCTAGTACATTACTATCATTACTAGAATTTAAATCACATTCTTTCAATTGCATAGATGATCTTGATCCTGAAGTAACTCCACTACTGTATAACATTCTATGTATTATAGCTACCTGTGCAGTCAAAATAAATAATGCATATGATTCATATACACTAGTTACTCTTTTAGGATTCACTATAACAATTCAATTAGATCATGACAGGTCTTATCGTGTTGAGCTGTGACATGCAAATTTCAAGATCTAATTTTGAAATTATTTCAAATTTTATGTCAATATTCATTAAAATAAACTACAAACTAGAGAGCTACTAAAATATCTGGCCAAATACTAAAAATAAACTCATCTATTATGCTTCTTTCATTTCATCATAATAAATATCTACATTATAGTACATAGTTATAGGCAAGAGCTACATAACTAAAAATTTATTTAGCCATAATTGTACAAAATCCAAAAATAAAAAAAATACCTATGACCCCAGATCTAATCATGAACTACTAATCCACAATCTCTTTCTTCTTCCCAGATCTTAAAAAATAGAAGTAAAATTAAAATGAGCTCAACAGCTCATCAAGACACAAACCAATCTAAATTTTTAAATAATTTCTTATCAAATATTTAGCTGAATATTTAAAAGTAGTTAAATGCGGTTTAAATAAATCACTGTACTCAGAGATATAATAAATGCATAATAGTTATTTTTTAAATTTAAATAATGATATTGAATAAATAAATTAATTAAAATTCATATCATATTTCTCGAACCCAAACATAATCTCAAAGGATTTTGACCTCTTATGACTCCTTTTTTATTTTTGCTTATAACATCAGAATAAATCACATATCCCTATTTTAGGCAGAATCTCAAAGGATTCTGATCTCTTATGACGCTCAAGAGATATAATTTAATCACATATGCACATATATCATCATATTATAATAATTAAAGAGTAATTAATAATGTATCAAAATTTCACAGTGTAGTATAATGGTAGACAATAGAAAATCTAACTAGGCAAAAATGCACATTTTTATAAAATTATTAAATTATCAGGAATTGTGTAAAATAATATTTTAAAACTTTTATTAAACTACATCACTATTTTTCAATATCTAGATAATTTTCTATTTAATAAAAGCTTCACAAATTTCAAAACCCTCGATGTAAAATTTCTAAACAATATTCAAAATGTGTATAATCATAATCTCTATAATATATAAAAAATTATATGGTGAAAGTTTTACCTGTGTAAAGTTATCACCGTTTTTTGCTAACGGATATAAAATTTTAGTTAAAATATTCACTAAAACTTACAAATTTTTAAAATTGAGATGGACATAATATATGTTTTACCTTGAGATGAACAAGTTTTTCAACTAGGTCGATGGATGAAAACGGCTCGAAGTCGCTCAAAAATCGGATTTCTCTTTCACTTCTCTTTTTCCCTTAATTCTTCTAAGCACTTCTCTATTTGCTCAAAACGAGAGTTTAAATGGAATTTAATAACGCATGATGGCTTGAGATATTTTTTATATTATTAAATAATATATAATGATATCATTATAATTAATTTTCAATATAAATTTTATAAAAATTTCTTTTAAGGATTCCAAAAACTACATAAAAATATTCATAAATTAACTTATTTTATTTAAAAAATTCATAAGAAATTGGTGTGTAAAAAGGATATCTAATGGTCTTAAAAACTTCACTTATACCGGTAGGTACCAATTTCTTAAAAAATTTTGATAATGCCCAAAAATTATGAAAAATTAGGGAAGCTAAAACACAACTTTGTAAGTGTTATGGCATAGACAATTTACACTTTAGACTTCCTTAGGCCAACAAAAAAAATCTTAAAAAAATTTAAGGGTTTCACATT